CCTCCTGAGTAGCAGGGACTACAGGCATGCACCACCATGCCCGGCTAGTTTTTTCTATATATATTAGTTGGCCAATTAATTTCTTTCTATTTATAGTAGAGACGAGGTCTCGCTCTTGCTCAGGCTGGTTTCAAACTCCTGACCTCGAGCAATCCGCCCGCCTCGGCCTCCCAGAGTGCTGGGATCACAGGTGTGAGCCACCTCGCCCGGCCCCGGAGTCTTGAGCTCAGCGCTGACTCCTGCGCTGGTCAGAGCCACGGCCTGCACACGCCGGGCCTGTCGGTCACACTCGGCGCCATGCACAGGTCACGGGTGTGACAACCCTTCCCAAATGTACTGGAAGATATAATTAAAATACATAGCTAAAGATAATGAGTATGATAAGAAAAGTAGCTGGGACTACAGGCATGTGCCACCATGCCCGGCTGATTTTTTCTATATATATATTAGTCGGCCAATTAATTTCTCTCTATTTACAGTAGAGACGGGGGTCTCACTCTTGCTCAGGCTAGTTTCGAACTCCTGACCTCGAGCGATCCTCCCGCCTCGGCCTCCCAGAGTGCTAGGATTACAGGCGGGAGCCACCGCGCCCGGCCTCCCTATCACTCTTACCAAGTGGAAGAATCTAGAGAAAAAGCAAACAGACCCATAAAAAATAGGATTCTTCACATATACCCTGACAATGATCCCAAACAAGTAGACACAGAGGCTGTGTATTTGTGGGAGGGAGGGTTTGTGTGTAGAAAGCTTAAGAATATAGGAAAATGTGTATTGGGCTAAATGTTTGGGACATATTTGCTTGTATAAAAGATACTTCTCAAAACTTTAATACACATACTGAAAGCAAAAGTGAAGTGCAGCCATTTTAAAAATGTTACTTTACTGTATAAAAATCGAGGTGACACAAGATCAGAAGAACGGGCTCCACAGGTACTCGCCATCAAATTGGTACCGACCGATTAACACCGTGGTGCTCAGAGGGTGGAGGTGTTCTCCAGGGGTTCGGGGTTGGGGGGGATGCGGTGAGCATTGTGGAGGGGAAGGGCATACCTCTAACCTTTGCCTGGGAGAGGCAAAGATAAAATGCAACCAAAATGTTCGTACTCTCATATTTTCTTGAAATAAAATTTTTTTTAAAAAGTATAAAAATACTAAGTCTCATCTTCAAAATGCAACAAAGTGCAAGCAATTCTCTCTTCCTTCAAAAGAAATTTTAATTGTGATGAACCCCACTAGGTTGCAGATTTCAATATCCTTTGTTCCACAGGATGATGGAAGAAGAATATGGGCTGTCAAATGCCATTTTAAGTAATAAAAAAAAAAAAAAGAAAAGCATTTTTCTTTCAAGTGTGATACAAGTGATGCTGACATTTTAGTCTGTCAGATTTTTTTTTTTTTTTTTACAAGAGGTAAATTTTTTTTATTTTTTTGAGACAGAGTCTCACTTTGTTGCCCAGGCTAGAGTGAGTGCCGTGGCGTCAGCCTAGCTCACAGCAACCTCAGACTCCTGGGCTCAAGCAATCCTCCTGCCTCAGCCTCCCGAGTAGCTGGGACTACAGGCATGCGCCACCATGCCCGGCTAATTTTTCTTTCTATATATATATTAGTTGGCCAATTAATTTCTTTCTATTTATAGTAGAGACGGGGTCTCGCTCTTGCTCAGGCTGGGTTCAAACTCCTGACCTCGAGCAATCCGCCCACTTCCGCCTCCCAGAGTGCTGGGATGGATTATAGGCGCGAGCCACTGTGCCCGGTCCAAGAGGTAAATTTTTAAACCCATTGCTTTCTTTTGGGCTCCACAGATGAGCTATTTTGTTTTTATTTTTATTTTTTAAAGTCAGATACAACGGCTGCACCACCATGGTCTTCCTTGATTTCTCCGGAGACCACAAGGCGGACCCCTCTCCTTTCGATGCTGCTGGCCATTGCCGGGCCGGGGTGGGGCGGGCACGGCCTGCCGTTTACCTACCGGGCCCAGGCCTGACCGCACGCCAGGTGTCACGGCGGCACTGAGGCACCCGCCACGCCACTAGCACCGCGGGTGGCTCGGGGGAGTCTGAGGAAGCAGGCTGGAAGAAGGCGGGCGTCTTGACAGACAGGAGAAAGGAAAGCACTTTACTTCAAAAGATGCTACGCTAACATTCTGAGCACCACGAGCGGTTTAGACACACGCACTCCCGTACACAGGAAGAGCACCGCCAGGTAACCAAGCGAGCGCGGGAGATCGGCGGGCGCACGTACTTCACGGTGAGGGGGGCGTCTCCACTCCTGTTGGTGTAGTTGACCACCGCATTGAAGGACTGGTTGATCCACTGCCAGAACACCACCGCCGGAGCCGTCCTGAAACAGAGCCGCCGTCACTCACTCACTCACCCAGCATCCTCGGGCAGGACGGAGCCCGGCAGCACCAGGGGCCGGGCAGGGCAGAGCCGGGGAGCACCGGGAGCCGGGCAGGACAGAGCAGGTGAGCACCGGGGGCCGGGCAGGACGGAGCCCGGGAGCGCCAGGGCCGGGCAGGGCGGAGTCCATGAGCACCGGGGGTCCAGGCAGGACGGAGCCCGGGAGCACCAGGAGCCGGGCAGGGCGGAGTCCATGAGCACCCGGGGGCCGGGCAGGGCGGAGCTCGGGAGCACCGGGAGCAGGGCAGGACGGAGCCTGGGAGCACAGGGAGCTGGGCAGGGCGGAGCCCATGAGCACCAGGGGCCGGGCAGGGTGGAGCCGGGAGCAGGGGGGTGGGGGGGGCAGGGCAGAGCCGGGAGCACCGGGTGGCCAGGCAGGACAGAGCAGGTGAGCACCAGGGTCCGGGCAGGACGGAGCCCGGGAGCACCGGGGGCCGGGCAGGACAGACCAGGTGAGCACCGGGAGCCAGACAGGAGACAGCTGGGGCGGGGCAAGGACTACGCATCTGGGTGGCCACAGGCCCAGGAGCTGTGTGGCCAGGCAGACTTTCGTCCTTGCTGATCCTCAGTGTCCTCACTTAGTACTTACGGGTGACCCCAAGCTCAGAGTAGGTTACTATGAGGATGAAGTAAGATAAAACTTGTAGAGGGCCCGGCACGGACGTTTGTCATTGAGTGTCCACTGAGAGCAGACACTGGATAAATGTCTGGTCCCTTCTTGGGGGAAAAACGAAGCCACATTTGTAGGCTACGCAGTCCTGGCCCTCCTAACTGCACGTACAATCCTGTGTGTTTGTCTGTGTCTACACCTACACCTATACTGTGTCTGTACCTAGTCCCATACCTACATCTGTATGGGTGGATTAAAAGGAGAATTTACTTACAGACTCTGTATTTTCTTTCTCTACCTCATTTTCTTTTGGGGTCTAAGATTTAGGGAAAAATTCAATCTCCTTCCAAATAACGAAGAAGATGGTATTAGCAGAGGAGAAAGGTAAAAAAGACCCCTAGCGTAGCAACATTTATACAAAAGGGAACTAAAAATGAAATGACATTTGTTCCTTTTTTTTTTTTATAAAGCAATTACACCCCTATTTTATTTTTTCAATTTTGTTTTTTATTCTATATATTTTTGGAATACAATGTGCTGTTTGGATACATGTAGACATTGTGGATGATTCAATCAAGCTAATTCCCATATTCATCACTTCTTTTACTTATGAAATGACATTTATCTCAATAAAATTATTTACATAAAAATGTACGTTAGGCTTTTAGGATATCAAACAAACTGTTGTTACATACCCACCACGTACCTATAAAATGTCATCATGCAACCTGTGATGGTCATGTTCATTGGCACCTGAGCTGACATTCTTCCTATCAAAATCATCTTTTCACCGGTATCAGGATGAAAAGCTGAATCGTAGATGTACTTTGCTCTCCATAATTCATTTTCCGTAAGACCTGGAGGAACAATTCCTTGCCTAGGAGAACAACAACAAATACCATGCCAATTTTTCATTTCAAATATCTCACTAGTGCCCTAGAGACAAGTAGCTTCAAAGTTTCACACTTACCTAAAACAATTCTGCCTGGATGGAATGACAAAACTAACTAAGATTACATATAGAGTCAGCAAAAATTTCAAAACATAAGCACTTAAAATGAACATTTCAAACTTATTTATTTTAAATCATCTGTAATTTGGAAAAGCCAAAAAAAAAAGTCTTGTATAATATGGAAGTATTCAACTTTGAAATACTCTTTGTTTGAAATGACATTTTAAAATGTATTTTGAACTTTGCAAACTCTAAAGTAGTTTTATTTATTTATTTTTATTTTTTTTTATTTCGGCATATTATTGGGGTACAGATTTTAAGGTTTCAATAAATGCCCTTCCCCCCCACAAGTCTGAGTCTCCAGCATGACCATCCCCCAGATGGTGCACATCTCACTCATTATGTATGTCTATACCCGCCCCCTCCCCCCTGCCCAATACCCTATTACTGTAGTACCTATGTGTCCATTTAGGTGCTACTCAGTTAATACCAGTTGCAAACTCTAAAGTATTTTTAACCAATTAGATGAAAGTTATGGTACTCAGGAATATTAATTCATTTGTTTTTTTTTTTTGGAGACAGAGTCTCACTTTGTTGCCCAGGCTAGAGTGAGTGCCATGGCGTCAGCCTCGCTCACAGCAACCTCAAACTCCTGGGTTCAAGTGATCCTGCTGCCTCAGCCTCCCGAGTAGCTGGGACTACAGGCATGCACCACCATGCCCGGCTAATTTTTTTTTTATATATATATCAGTTGGCCAATTAATTTCTTTCTATTTATAGTAGAGACAGGGTCTCGCTCTTGCTCAGGCTGGTTTCGAACTCCTGACCTCGAGCAATCCGCCCGCCTCGGCCTCCCAAGAGCTAGGATTACAGGCGTGAGCCACAGCGCCCGGCTCAATAATTCATTTTTAAACGCACAGAATGAAAACCTTGTTTATGAAGGCTCTCAGCGGGGTGGGGTGGGGGGAGCAGCCATGTGATACTGGAGGCAGAGATTGGAGTGATGCATCTATAAGCCCGGAACACCAAAGTCCTCAGAACCCGGGAAAAGGCAAGGAAGGATCGCCCCCTAGAGCCTTCAGAGAGAGCGTGGACCTGCTGACACCTTGAATTCAGACTTTGACCCTTCAGGACCGCAAGAGAATACATTTCTGTTGTTTTAAGCCACCCAGCTGGTGGCAATTTGTTACTGTAGCTTTACGAAACAAATATATCATTTTTTAAAATGTTGCACAGTATTCCACTGCATGATTGCAATCCACTGTGCAACACACTAATATTATACCAGTCCCTAGCGTTGGGCATTTTAGCTGCTCCTAATTTTTCCCATTTGTAAAGGACGGGGAAGTAAATAAACCCTCATAAAGAAATCTTTCCTTACATTCAAGACTATTTCAAAAGCAATGAGTAGGCTGGGCACAGTGGCTCACGCCTGCGATCCTAGTACTCTGGGAGGCCGAGGCGGGAGGATTGCTCGAGGTCAGGAGTTGGAAACTAGCCTGAGCAAGAGTGAGACCCATCTCTACTATAAATAGAAAGAAATTAATTGGCCAACTAATATATATAGAAAAAAATTAGCCGGGCACGGTGGCGCATGCCTGTAGTCCCAGCTACTCGGGAGGCTGAGGCAGGAGGATCGCTTGAGCCCAGGGGTTTGAGGTTGCTGTGATCGAGGCTGACGCCATGGCACTCACTCTAGCCTGGGCAACAAAGGGAGACTCTGTCTCAAATAAAAAAAAAAAAAAGACTGCATGGCCTGCAAAGCCTAAAATATGTAAATCTGGCCCTTTATAGAAAAAGTTTGCTGACCCCTGACCTCCACCCCAAGCTTCCCTGGTTTTTCCTCTATATCTCTAATTCTACTTTGTCACGGTGCCATTTCTTTTTCTTTTCTTTTTTTTTTTTTTTGAGACACAGTCCCTCGTTGCCTGGGCTAGCAGTGAGTGGCGTGGCGTCAGCCGTAGCCACACACAACCTCAAACGTCCCTTGGGTCCAAGCAATTCTCCCGCTGCCTCAGCCTGTCGCTCCTGACGTAGCTGGACTAGAGGCATGCACACCACTGCCCGGCTAATTTTTTTTTCTTATATATATCACGCCTGCTTCTATATGTTTTTCTTTTTGAGACAGATCTCCACTTTTGTTGCCCCCAGGCCAGACTGACTGCCGTGGCGTCAGCTGTAGCCACAGCAACCCCAAACTCCTGGGTCAAGCGATCCTGCCCTGCCTCCCAGCCTCCCGAGTCAGCTGGGACTACAGCATCCGCGCCCACCATGCGGCAATTCGTTGCTATATATATTTTTAGTTGGTCAATTAATTTCTTTCTATTTTTAGTAGAGACGGGGTCTCACTCAGGATGGTTTCGAACTCCCAACCTCGAGCAATCCGCCCGCCTCAGCCTCCCAGAGTGCTAGGATTACAGGCGTGAGCCACCGCGCCTGGCCCTTATATGTTTTTAGTTGGCCAATTAATCTCTATTTTTAGTAGAGACGGGGTCTCGCTCTTGCTCAGGCTGGTCTTGAACTCCTGAGCTCAAACGATCCTCCTGCCTCGGCCTCCCAGAGTGCTAGGATGACAGGCATGAGCCACCACCGCGCCCAGCCTCACGGTGCCATTTCTGATGTTGGTTCTCCGCCACTGTCTTTAGTGAAGATTTCGATTTTCCAATCGCATTTTTAGGCCCTTGGCAATCCTCAGTATGTGTCATCTTCCTTTCCACCACACGGTGGCCTTTTCCTCTCAGTTTCTCCTCTTTACGGCTGCTTCTCCAGGCTCATAAAGAACATTTATTTTACTAAAGTCCTAAAATGTGCTTCTGCTGGGTCTTCCCCTGCCTGCCCTTCGGCACTTCCACCTAAGGCCCCCGAGGTTCCCTCTGTGCCCGCCCTCTGTGTGCAGACTGGCAGTCGCAGAGCCTGGCCGGACTCGGGGCTCATAGATTATCACTGGTTCCCCCTGCTAACAACCTAGACGACCTCGGATCTCTGCCTGGGACGCACTGCTCTCGGGCGTGTTCAGGCGTGTGGCTTCCAACAAGCCAACCCCCGGCTTCTGCCTGACGTCCCACACTGTGGGAGCCAGGACGCCCCATTAGGTAAGTGCGGTTTTTACTATTTTTAAAGGATTGTAAAAATAATAAACGAACAAGAAAACCAAGAATAATATACATCAGAAACGATTTGTGCCGGGAGGCCGAGGCGGGCGGATTGCTCAAGGTCAGGAGTTCAAAACCAGCCTGAGCGAGACCCCGTCTCTACTATAAAAAATACAAAGAAATCAATTGGCCAACTAATATATATATATAATTAGCCGGGCATGGTGGTGCATGCCAGTAGTCCCAGCTACTCAGGAGGCTGAGGCAGGAGGATCGCTTGAGCCCAGGAGTTTGAGGTTGCTGTGAGCTAGGCTGACGCCACGGCACTCACTCTAGCCTGGGCAACAGAGTGAGACTCTGTCTCAAAAAAATAATAAATAAAAAAAAAAAAAGAAACGCTTTGTGGTCTACAAAGCCCGAAATGTGTCTTATATGGTCTTTTAGAGGAACAGCTGCTGCTTTAGAGTGTCTTTATTTATTTTATTTTATTTTTATTCATTTATTTTTTTTGAGACAGAGTCTCGCTTTGTTGCCCAGGCTAGAGTGAGTCCGGTGGCGTCAGCCTAGCTCACAGCAATCTCAATCTCCTGGGCTCAAGCAATCCTCCTGCCTCAGCCTCCCGAGTAGCTGGGACTACAGGCATGTGCCACCATGCCCGGCTCATTTTTTCTATATGTATTAGTTGGCCAATTAATTTCTTTCTATTCATAGTAGAGACGGGGTCTCGCTCCTGCTCAGGCTGGTTTCGAACTCCTGACCTCGAGCAATCCGCCCGCCTCGGCCTCCCAGAGTGCTAGGATGACAGGCGTGAGCCACCGCGCCCAGCCAGCTATAGGGTGTCTCTACACAGGTGACATTGCCTCCTGCCTCCTGCCCGGCTCGCTCCACCCACGGAACAGCCCAACTCTACGATCCCTGCGGGCACGGCCGTCAGCACCCTTCTCACCTGGCCTCCTTCCCACAGCGTTCATTCTCTGGGGCTATGGCTCAGAAGCAACCAACCCCACCCCTGATTCTTGCCTGATTCTTGTGTTTTGCAGGGTGCTGTTTCTGTTCAGAGACAGAAAAATGCATGAGTTGCTGCATGGGGGAACAGGAGGCAGGGTGCCCGGAAAGGGGCCTCACAGACTGGTGCTATGAGCCCTGGATATCTCTGTGTCAAGAGTCAGCAATTTCGGCAATGGGGGGGATACAAACAGGCCTTTCTAGTCTTTTTTTTTTTTTTTTTTTTTTTTTGAGACAGAGTCTGGCTTTGCTGCTCAGGCTTGAGTGAGTGCCGTGGTGTCAGCCTAGCTCACAGCAACCTCAAACTCCTGGGCTCAAGCGATCCTCCTGCCGCAGCCTCCCGAGTAGCTGGGACTACAGGCATGAGCCACCACGCCCAGCTAATTTTTTCTCTCTATATATATTAGTTGGCCCATTAATTTCTTTCTATATTTTTTTTAGTAGAGACGGGGTCTCGCTCTTGCTCAGGCTGGTTTAGAACTCCTGACCTTGAGCAAGCTGCCCGCCTCAGCCTCCCAGAGAGCTAGGATTACAGGTGTGAGCCACCGCGCCCGGCCCCTTTCTATTCATTTTTTGTTGTTGTTGTTCAAAGGGTTCTGTTGCAAAAAAAAAAAAAAATGTGAAATCACTAAGTAGAGGTTTATAAGCAATAGACTAATAGGATGATCTATTTATACATTAAGTGAAAAAACATAATCATTTACATTACCTGTAATCATGTACTGTTTTTCTCGCATCCTCTAGTTGTTCGTTTGTTAGCAGAATATTCCTAGGGTCAGTTACGGTGAAGAAATGATTGGCTCGTCCGGAAAAGCTGCTTTGATCCCAGCGAGGCTCTCTGATGTCGATGTTTGGCGGCAATTCTCCAGACATCGTCCTGACTGCAGAGCCAAACACACAGGTCCCCGTGAGGCTTACGCTGTCACTACACAGCTTGTAACTTTGTTAGTCAAGTGAAATCTTCAAGCAAAAACTTATGTACTCTCTTCCCATTTATTAAGATAATGTTCCAGCCTGAGGCCGAGGCGGGTGGATTGTTTGAGTTCCGGAGTTCGAGACCAGCCTGAGCAAGAGCCAGGTCTCACCTCTACTATAAATAGAAAGAAATTAGCCAAACCACTAAAACTAGAAAAAATTAGCCGGGCGCAGTGGCCCGTGCCTATAGTCCCAGCTACTCGGGAGGCTGAGGCAGGAGGATCGCTTGAGCCCAGGAGTTTGAGGTTGGTGTGAGCAAGGCTGACGCCACAGCACTCTAGCCCGGGCAACAGAGCGAGGCCCTGTCTCAAAAAAAAAAAAAAACAAAGGAAAAAAAAGGATAATGTTGCTATAAACAGCAGCAAGACCACTGAAATTCAGAGCTAACTTTGTCTACAAATCTCAACTGATCTTCACCAAATTTTTTCAGTACTTTCTGCATTACTTCTCTTTGTAAGTACATAGTATCTCAACATTCCTTGACACCTAGAAATACTCTAGAGAAAATAAAATATAAAAAGTTTAAAAATCATATCAGGAGTGGCAGGGTCTGATATTTGAACCCATTTTTCTGGGTGAAACAAGCAATCTCAAAGCACTGCATTCTGGTCTACCGAAAGTGTTATTATTTCTACCAGTAAAAGTGACTAATGATGCAAAAAAAAGGGCTGAAACATTAAAATTACACAATTAAAAAAAAGATGCACATTCATTCTGCCTTCTTTAGCACAAAAACCACCTATCAAAAATTAAAAATTATGTTCTTCAATCTACCAGGAACAGAGTGGGAAAAACACATTCTGACAGCCCCGTGAATAAGAATAACACGGTAGCATATAATTATCCTCATAACATTTTTATTTTCTGGCTAAAGAACCACCTTTTTTTCCCCAAAAGTAATTAATTTCTCTGAGTAATACATGCTTATTTTAGAACTGCATTGTATTTTTGTAACAGATGCTTACTGTAGTATTCTGAAAGTATAAGCTTATTATAGCAAAGAAAGGATACGGAAACAAAATCTCCTGTCACCTAGCCACTCTGAAATAATTACTGTTCATGTTTTAGTGCATTTCCTTACACATGTTTTCTATGCATGTTATCATATAATTACAAAACACGTTGCTATCATACAGGGTCTCACTCTGTTGCTCAGGCTGGACAGCAGTGGTATGATCATAGCTCACTGCAGCCTCGAACTCCTGGGTTCAAGCGATCCTCCTGCCTCAGCCTCCTGAGTACCTGGGACTACAGGTGTGCCATGACCACATCCACTAATTTTTTTTTTTTTTTGCAGAGATGGGGTCTTGCTATGTTGCCCTGACTGGTTTTGGGCTCCTGGGCTCAAGTGATCCTTCTGCCTCGGCCTTCCAACGTGCTGGGATTACAGGCGTGAGCCACCATGCCCAGCCCTGGTGAGTTTTTTTTTTTTTTTATTTCGGCATATTATGGGGGTACAAATTTTAAGGTTTTAAGAAATGCCCTTTTCCCCCCTGGAGAGCTTTTTAAAAAGACAAATACTCTCCCCCTTCTAGAGACTGGGATCCAGTTGGTGTAGCACACCGCTGGGCTTGTGAGTGTGCCCTTCAAGCTGATGGGCACAGGCCATGGCTGTACCCTCAGCTGTGAGCTGTTTCCTTCCCTGCACCTTCATCTGCCCGGCCCGGCCTTCCCTCAGCCCGACAGCTATCTGTAATGCTCCTCAGTGGACACCTGGTGCCTATTTGGCTCAGGAAACTGAGCAACAAATAATCTTCCCTTTTAACTGTAATTCTCACTATCACTATTTCTACCTTTATGCTTAACATAAATAATCAAAACAAAAATCAAGACACGGCTTTTACAGATTTCTAGTTCTTAATAAACAAGCCGTCTCCAAGTTGGTTAAAATATAAAGCAACATTTAGGGTGGTTTCATCAACATGATCTCATTTTAAAATATGGTTAACTTGGTAACAAATGATCCCTCCAACATGCTTATCATAGAGGTGTGGAAACTGAGGCCCAGAGGGGAAAAATCACGCTCAGGTTGCGTGACTGATGCTGGTGGCAGAACAAACTCTGGGGGAACCCAAAGCCGGCCTGGACTCCAGGGCACTGGCCGGTTTCACTGTTTCTACTCGACTCTCTTTTAGCAAAAATTTTTTTGGAAGTATGGCATCAACTAGCATCTGCAGAGAACTGGTATCTTTGAAGCCCCCCTTTTTTCTCTAAATAAAAACTCGCCCCTACACTATAAAGTTATGCACTACAATAACCTCATGGTGACTTTACAAGTGACCAAGAATGCCAGGCAGCGCTTCCCAAAAATGTCTTCTTTAACAAAGAAAAGGGTCCTCCTAGGCACCGGCACCGGGAAATTCTCAGTCCTCACGACTGTGTGCTTTACACATCCCGTGCCCATTTTACAGAAGAAGCAAGCAAGATTCTTAGACGCCACTCACTGTGTGGGGGAAGAGGCAGGGGAGCGGAACACCAACTGCTCATCTTCAGACTCCGGTGGAACCCACCTGGAAGCTCTTCTTTCATGCACTTGCGGTGGGCAGAACAATGGTCCCCAAAGGCCACCACACCCTAATCCCCAGAAACTGTGAATGCACCTTACTTCCCGGGTGTGATTACGTTAAGGGTGTTGAGAGGAGAGGCCATGCCAGATTACCTGGGTGGGCCAACGTAACCCTGCGGAAGGCCGGCAGGAGGGCCAGGCCGGACACATGTGGGAACGAGCAGAGGCTGGGGCGGGGCTCGGCACGAGGGGGGGGCACAGGCTGCTTCCAGGAGCCAGAAAGGGCAAGGACAGGGGGTCTCCCCTAGAAGTCTCTGGAAGGAACACCCACCCACTTCAGACTTCTGGCTGCCAGAACCCTAAGATAATAAATGTGTGTTGTTGTAAGCTAATAAATGTGTGGTAATTTGTTATAATAGGAATAGGAAACTATTCAAATACAACATTAAAATATTAAAAATACAACACTATTTCCCTTACTTAAAAAGGGTTTCGAGTTGAATTGTGCCGGCGTGAGAAACGGTGACTAGACTGGGTAACCCTGTGCCCTGCCCCCGAGAACGGGAGAGACACACAGACTAGCCAGCAATGCCATGTGAGCTTTCTCACAGAAACTGTAGTCATTAACGATGAACGTCATCCCGTGGTTCTAAACGGGACAAGCCTTTTTTACGCATGAACTTCCACCTTCAAGCATAGGAACGGTTTTCCACTTTCTCCACTCCGAATGAATGGGGCAGTTTTCTAACATCGGGAGTCCCACTTATTCCCCATTCCACATTAACGTCAACGAGGGGGCCAGCGGCGCGCCCACTGGAGACGCCGGGGAGCCACCTCCAGGCCAGAGAGGCTCGTCTGTGCCCGGGCCTGTCCTGCCGGGCGTGCGCTCTAGCTGAGCCGGGAGCGGGGCCGGGAGCCGACACGACTCGGGCATCCCCTGCGCAAGGCAGCCCTGATGCCTCGTGGGGCGCGGGGCGGGCGGCCCGGTGGGCGCGCGCTCCCTACCGACTGGTGGCCCGGTCTCCCCAGCAGCTTCCTTTCGGGGGGTCTGTCCTGGCTGCTGGGAAGATGCTGAAGGGCTGGACTTGGTTTCCCCACGGTCGGGTCCACGCGTCGAGCGTGCAGCCATCCTGCGGCTTGAGGCCCGGGGCTCGCGGGGAAGGCTGAAACTGGGCAAAGACATGCCACCTATCTAGACAGGTGTTCTTTTTTTTTTTTTTTTTGAGACAGAGTCTCACTTTGTTGCCCAGGCTAGAGTGAGTGCCGTGGCATCAGCCTCGCTCACAGCAACCTCAATCTCCTGGGCTCAAGCAATCCTCCTGCCTCAGCCTCCCCAGTAGCTGGGACTACAGGCATGCGCCACCATGCCCAGCTAATTTTTTTTTTGTATTAGTTGGTCAATTAATTTCTTCCTATTTTTAGTAGAGACAGGGTCTCGCTCTTTGCATGGGCTGGTTTCGAACTCCTGACCCCGAGCGATCCACCCGCCTCGGCCTCCCAGAGTGCTAGGATGACAGGCGTGAGCCACCGCGCCGGGCCTAGACAGGCCGTATTCTTGAGCAGCGCGGGCACTGCGGGCTATGCCGCAGGGAAGGCATCGTGTTGGACAGCCTCACAGGGACACTGGGGACGGCATGAATGATGATCCAAACACAAATGGTTCAACCACAAATGGCTCTGTTGCCCAGGCACTCACTCTAGCCTGGACAACAGAGCGAGACTCTGTCTCAAAAAAAAAAAAAAAAAAAGGTTTTATCACTTAAAGACATTCTTATCTACAATGTCAGCTACCTGAGGTCACATTAACAATTACAGCATTACACTGTATTTAAATGAGTCATTCCTAAACAGGTCACGTTACATGAGATATATGCTGAAACATTAATTAACCCCTCAAAGCGGACAGGAATAATCTCTTAGAGAGATTAAAAACTGTTAAAAATTTAATCTCTTAGTTAAGGTTTTGTGTAAATGTCTCACAGAGCCTCATCAAAATACATCTCTCACAGTCTTTTTATTCATTCACAAACAAAACTAATTTATGCTTTCAGTACCCGCTGAAGGCCCTCACGTACCCAACACCGGCTTGGTCCTGGGTGTTGAAAGCCCTAACACATAGTGAACAGTAAATTGAAGAACAGCAAACACATTCTAATGAAAACAGCCTAAATTAATTTCCCCAAACACACTTGTGGATGCCCTTCACATATAAAGCTTATTGTCTGTGGCTATTACCCAACTCCACTGATGAAGGTTTAAACTGAGCTATTAGATTACTAATCTGGGCAAACCTTACTGAAGACTGGTATGAACGACTGGTGTTCAGATCTTCACATTTCTTTCAAAAATACCTATTATTATAAATATGCTTTGAAATGTATAATAACTCAGGCAACATTAAAGCCAAAATGAGTGGCGTGACAAAGACTCTACAGTCACAACACATGATACTACAGGCCAACTGGAAATGTTAGCTGACTCCACCATATTCAAGGCATTCATTAAATGACATCACAATTTTCATGAACAATTCTGTGAGGGCGTTGCTGCCTGCCTTCCAGGCTAGATACCTTGCCCTGTCCCCAAATCACACTCAGCACACGCGTGTGCAATGGCAAGGACCACCTCCTGACTGCTAGGCCCAGCATTCCCACCACATCAAATCCTCAGTGACTGGTGAGCAGTCTGCTCCTATGAGGCACTTGTGATCAGCAAAGTTTCCAAATACATTAACTGAACCTGGTGGTTAGCTTGGCTCGAATTCCTGGCTCTAAACCACACTTCCCCAGCCTCATCCAGCTGTCCTATAATGAAGCATGCCTGGGGGAGAGAAGGGGATGCCTGGGGGGAGAGAAGGGCTGTGCAGGGGAGCTACTACTGTGTAGCAGGTAGGTATGAGTTTGTGCTTGCAGAGGCAACGTATCAGAGTTCAAATCCCGGTCCCCCAACTACTCTGTGACCTTGTACTCATTATCTGATTGCTTCAAGTTTCTCGGTCTTTATCAACAAAAATCAGAATACTGCCTAATAGTAGCCGCTGACATTTAATAATCCCTCATTCTGAGAGCTTTCCCTGTATCATTTCACGTCACCCTTATCAAAATCACAGCCATGTGACACAGGAGGGTGTTTCAGAAGGGCAGTCTAGCTAACCTGCTCACGCAGTGCCAGACAGAAACTTAAGTCACCTGGCTGCAGGACTGCTGTTCCCCAAAGAGGTGCTTGTGACTGGGAAAGCCTCTTCTTAGAGAATCTGATTCAGCAGTGCTGAGGCGGAATCACACTTTTTAAGAGCCCAGGAATCAAATTTCTCAAAAGCACACCAAGAGATATTCTATGATCAGGTAAGTTTGGAAAACACCATATTGAAAAAAATGTAAAAAAGAAAACAAAACTAAATGAAAACCAAAATGACCAACCAGTGAAAAAGTGAGGTTCTCACACTCTTGCCGGGGCAGTATAAATATCTGGGTGCCTCACGGCTGTCCGCACTGACACCCCGTTCTCCTGAGCATCAGCCCTGACAACTTGTGGAGCAGGAGCCGGACTTAAGCAAATACCATCCAGATTTGAGTCCTGATTCTGTCACTTCCGTTCCAGAAATGTCACTGGGTTAGTCACTTTACATCAGTGAGCCTCCATTTTCTCATCTATAAAACAGAGATAGCTGTTGGCTTACAGGGTTGGTAGGAATAGCAAACACAAGTGTATAAAAGGCCTTTATTCATCTCCATCAAACGTCAAGTGCCAAACAAGGATCGAAAATGACCCCCGAAGGTGCAGATCATTACTAACAAGCCAGTTCTTCAGGGCTGGAAGTTCCTGTCCGCCCTGGCTATAGCCCTGCCCATAAATGCAGTTGCTGGTGGGCAGGAGAATGGAGCTCGGCTGTCCCAGCTTCCTAAAGATGATCACAGATGTCTCAAAAAGGAGTTTTTCTCCAAGGTAAACTTTATCTCAAACTTTTAGCTACATGCCGAGAAGATGCTTTATTTGGGAAAAACGAATTTTCTACAAATTCCACAGAAAGCAAGTTAGCGGGGAATGTGCTTTTTCAGGGAATTAGTAACGGAGACCTTTTACCCTGGCTAAAGATTAACAGCGATAACTAAGTTATTCAACTGGAGACTTGTTGTTGGTTACAACTACTGTATTTTGCAAGAGTTAGGGAAAAGTCTGATTCCCCCGTTTGACTGTTAGGGCCAGGCAGGTGTGAACCAGACTGTGAGTCTCCACTGTCCACTGCCCAGGGGACAGGACCAAGTGCCCGCCATGTCCCAGACACCGGGCTTTCCATGCATCGTTACATTGCTGCTAAACCCCTGATTTCCCCTATTTTGTAGAGAAATTAAGTAGCATGCCCAAGATGACACAGCCTGGAAGTGACAGTTCTGACTTTGCACAATTCTGACTCTCTGGAGGCCAGAGGAGATGTGTCCACAAAGGACGATCACACTTACTCCAACGAGCCTAAAAAGCGAATTTACTAATTTGGGGTTGGCCTTGGCTGGGCATTTGCACACGGCATCCTTACTCATTGGTGTGGCCACATAGGAGATCAAATTATAGGTAAAAAGGTGAAACCTATGCAAAGAATTAGATTCATTCAAGGGAATTTTTTTTTTTTTTGAGACAGAGTCTCACTTTGTTACCCAGGCTAGAGTGGGTGCCGTGGCGTCAGCCTGGCTCACAGCAACCTCAATCTCCTGGGCTCAGCGATCCTACTGCCTCAGCCTCCCGAGTAGCTGGGACTACAGGCATGTGCCACCATGCCTGGCTAATTTTTTGTATATATATTTTTAGTTGGTCAATTAATTTCTTTCTATTTTTGGTAGAGACAGGGTCTCGCTCAGACTGGTTTCGAACTCCTGACCTTGAGCGATCCGCCCGCCTCGGCCTCCCAAAGTGCTAGGATTACAGGCGTGAGCCACCGCGCCCGGCCCATTCAAGGGAATTTTCACTCAGCAATAAATTCGTGTTGCACACTCTTCACTTCTCCAAGGACAGTTCTGTTTGGAGGCGTGGGGCCTGTCTAGAACCTGGAAGACATGGAGAGTTGCTGCCACCGTTTCCTCCCTTGCAGATGCCACTAACTAAAACACCCACGTGACAATCACTGCTCACATTCCAGTCCTTAAGATCAACTTT